TTCTAGATCACGGTTGGTCAGTTTTGTTTATCTTTTTGAAAACCACGCTTCGTCATTGATCTTTTCTATTCTCGTCCGTGGGTGGCCATCCGAATCAATGCTGGGGGGGTGTGGGCGGTGACAGCTACAACTCCTGCCCCCCACCCCCTGCCGAGCCCTGTCCGGTCCTTTGAGGTCACATGTGAGGATGCAGAGTCGGGCCTCGGTCTCGGGTGTCCAGTGAGGCTTTCAGACGTCAGGGCGCACCGCACGCCCCGCAGGCTCGTGCACGCACACCTGCTGGATCCTCCCCGTCCCATCTGCTGCTGCAGGTGTGGTCCCAGTGTAACCCCTGCTGCTGAGGGGTGCGCTGAGCCCAGGCCCATCAGCCCCTGAGTGCCCAGCATGGCCTCTGAGCGTCTGGGGGCCGAGGGAGGGAGCTTTCCGTGTCTGTGCACCGGGGTGGGGGGTCCTTCGCCTGGTCCCCAAGTCCTGCTGGTGGCAGTGGGCGGGGCATCAGGGGTTTCCTGGACGTTGGCCCCTCCTCCTCCGGAACCAAGGAGGCGAAAGCTCTCCCGCCCCCAGGACACGACCCACCTTGTCTCCCCACGATGCCTGCTGCCTTGCAGCCGCTCCAGCACAGGCTCCCAGCTGCCCTCGGTTCCCCTCCCGCCCCCGGTGCCAGCTCTTCCCGGGCTCGTCTGCATGGGGTGGCAGAGACGGGGGGCCCACTAACCGCGCTTTCTGTCTTGTCTTGAAGGCTCAGCTGTCACAAGCGCTGGAGGAGCTGGGCAGCCAGAAGCAGAGAGCGGACATGGTGAGTCCAGGCCCCGCCCTGCGGGGTCTCTGCCAGAGGGAGGCAGGGCAGGTGCCTTGACCCGGCCCAGGGCGTTCTCATTCCCTCATGACGTGTCCTGCAGGCCCGCGTGGGCCCTGGCAGCCACCTCCCTTCTTGTCATCAGAAATGCGGTGGGAGCAGAGGGCACGAGGTTTAGAAGCTGAGTCCTGGCTCCCAGAGACAGACTAGCTGCCTCAGTGTGAGGACTGGGGGCAGGGACTGCCTCCTGCCAAGGTCATGCCCTGGCCCCGGGCCTGTGCCTTCAGCCCAGGTGCTGCCCACGCTGTCCAGGCTGAGCCAGGACCTCCCTGCAGCCTGCGGCTTCCCTGCCCAGAGGACATGGGCCCCGCCTCCCCGAGAGCCCAGTGGGGGCACAGGTGTGCAGGTGAGGCAGGTGTCTCTCCCACTCTCGGGAAGGGGGGTGGGAGCTTTGCTGCGGGAGCGTGTCTGTCCTGTGCAGGCTGCGAGCCCTCTTCCCTGCTGCCCGGCTCTTGGCCTGGTACCGGATGTCTGCGTGTGTGGGCTGCTCTGCCTCCAGGCTGGCTGGCTGGGTGCAGGGCGAGGCTGCTGCTGGCACTGGGCGGCTGGGACCGCGTCACGGGCCAGAGCTCTGCTCCTGCATCTTCGCCTCCTTCCGTCAGCTCCCTGACCTTGAGCAGGGTGCCCTCTGTTGAAGTGACATGTCCTTGAATTTGCATATCTGTCATGTCCTTGCTGT